TTAAGTAACTCATAGGAGTTTTCTCTACATGAGGTCTAGTTATGCATCTATTTATTATATAATAAGCAGTGTTTATAGCCTCTGCCCAGGAGCTATGAGGTAGTTTACTGGAAAGTAGCATGGTCCTTGCCATATCCTCAAGGGTCCTGTTCTTCCTTTCAACTACCCCATTTTGCTGAGGAGTCCTAGGGGCAGAAAAATTATGATCTATTCCATTTTCATCACAAAGTTTAGCAAACTGTGCATTTTCAAATTTAGTTCCATGATCAGACCTAATGGATGCAAGTTGATTTCCTAATTGTTTCTGGGTTTTTCTAATAAAAGCAGTGAACATTTCAAATGCTTCATCTTTAGAAGTTAGAAACAATACCCAGGTAAATCTAGAATAATCATCAACAAGCACCATTACATATCTTTTACCACCTCTGCTCATGGTTCTCATTGGACCACAAAGATCCATATGAACCAGTTCCAACGTCTTGGACGTACTTACCATTTTCTTAGGTTTGAAGGATGACCTTACCTGCTTCCCCCTTGCACATGCCTCACAAACTTTGTCTTCCTTGAACTTGATATTAGGTAACCCTATCACCAAGTCCTTGGAGACTAATTTGTACAATTGATTTAGACTGGCATGGCCAAGTCTTTTGTGCCAAAGGAGGGGATCATTAATTAACACACTCAAGCAAGTTAGTTCATTTTCAGAGAGAGTTGACAGATCTACAATGTAAATATTGTTAACTCTCCTTCCCTGCAAAACAATCTTGTCAGTAGTAAGGCTAATCAAAAAACATTTTGTGGAAGTGAAAGCCACAAGGTTACCTCTGTCACACAGTTGTGACACACTTATCAGGCTATATTTTAAGCCATCTATCAAATAGACATTCTCAATGGAATGAGAGTCTGTCTTTCCTACCTTTCCAACACCAATGATCTCACCTTTCTTTCCATTTCCAAAGGAGACATTACCTCCTTTTAGGTTCTCAAGTGAAAGGAACTGGTTCTTCTTACCAGTCATATGTTTTTAGCAGCCACTATCCATGTACCATATTTGGCTACTTCCCTTCACTTGATCCTGCAAAAAGAAATCATGGGTTAGTCTTAGGAACCCAAACTAGTTTGGGTCCCTTTCTATGGGCAAAAGGATGAATTAAATTTTTTTTTGCCCAACTAGGCAGTTTGTGCTTTTCTTGAACAAAGGCTTTGTTCTTTTGATTGGCCTTTTCTCTTGCATTACATTCATTTTTGTAATGGCCAGTATTACCACAGTGTGTGCAGATCTTATTCTCAGGAAGTGTGAGATACTTGTTCTTGGGATCCCATTTTGGAGCTTGTGTCCCAAATCCAAGTCCTCTCTTGTTGCTACTATGATGTACTTGCAGCCAGGAGAGTGCATCGGAAGCCTTGTTCCATTTGCATGATCTATCTAGTTCATGCTTTACCTTTCCTAAATCTTCTTTTAGGGCTTTAATCAATTCATCTTTCTTGTACAGTTCATCTTTCATTTTTCCTAGATTTTCCTCTAAGGTGAGAAATGATTGATCAGCCCTTTTCTTTCCTGTCCCTAATTTCAGTTTAATATTTTCAGATCTAAGTTCTAGAATCTTATTTTCAAGTTTATGAACCTGGTTCTTCAACTCAGTATTTGTGTTGTCGCTCTCATCAGCCCTAGAGTCTAACCTTTTACATTTTTCTTCTAGGATAACACATTCCTTAGACAGAACATCCTTCTCACTATTTATTATTTCAGACTCATCTATGAAGTCCATCAGCAGATCAGCCAGTTTTTCTTCAGACAAGAACTTAATCTTTTCTTTAAGGTGTAGAATACTTACCTCCTGTTCATCTTCTGATTCTCCGATGGCCATTAGAGCTTGATCCTCCTCAGCTTCATCTTCAGAGTCCTCATCTGATGTTTCTCCCCAAGCAGCAACCATAGCCTTAGTTGAACCTTTGTTTCTTTTTGGTTGAACCTGTTCCTTCTTCCTGTTTCTTCTTTCAGCTCTTTCTTTCTTCCATTCAATCTCCCATTGAGGGCAGTTTCTGATGTGGTGATCAGTCTTCCCACACTTGTAACACCCCTCATTGGTTTGTTTCTCAGGAGCCCTCGATTTGCTGAATGTTGTTCCTTTTGAAGCACCCTTTCCTCTCATAAGATATTTCTTGAAATCTTTGGTTATCATAGCCATTTCATCATCTTCAAGATCTGATCCTTCTGAAATTCTGAGAGCCAGACTTCTTTCTTTCTTTGGAGCATCCATCTTCATTGTTTGCCTTCTCAATTCATAGGTAGTGAGATTTCCAATCAGTTCATCCAACTTCAAAGTAGCAATGTTCTTGGATTCATGAATGGCAGTGATTTTGCTTTCCCGGGAGATTGGCAAAACTTTAGTTAGAATCTTCTCCACCTTGTCTTCTTCCAGGATAATCCTTCCAAGAGACTCAAGTTCATTTGTCAGTGTAGTGAACCTGGTATACATTTCTTGGATAGTTTCTCCATCCTTCATAGTTAAATTCTCATATTGAGAATACAGTAGTGTTCCTCTTGACCTCTTCACCTGAGGTGTTCCTTCATGAGCCACTTGTAAAGTGTCCCAGATCTCCTTGGCAGTAGTACAGCCTTGAATCCTGCTGTACTCATCAGGACCAAGTCCACACACTAACCATTTCTTGGCTTTTGCATTTTTCTCCCATTTCCTTAGATCTTTAGCAGTACAATCTACTCTTGTCTTTGGAACATCCACTCCTTCAGCATTCTTCTTGGTTGGCTAAAGGACCATCAGTGATGATATCCCAAAGCTCATAGTCTTCGCCCATTATATGGTCCCTCATTCTGTTTTTCCACCAGGAGTAGTAGAGGCCATTGAAGAGAGGAGGCATGGCAGTGGATTGCCCTTCCCAGTTCCCAGGTGGTGCACTCATGTTGATCTTTTCCTAAGGTGTTAACCTCTTCAAGGATAACCTGCTCTGATACCAATTGATGTTATAAACTTCAATACCACACAAGAGGGGGGGTGATTTGTGTGGTACCTAATTTTCGCGTTAGAAGAACCTGGTTCTTCTAAGTGTTCTAACTACAGCAGTTTGCGGAATAATAAATACTGTAAGTAAAGTGCACAGAGATTTTTACGTGGAAAACACCTGGCTCAAAAGGTGAAAAAACCACGACCTACTACTTAGTAGGATTTTCCCAAACTCCACTAAAATCACTGAGCCAAAAACTGCATTTACAAAACTCTTTGTAAACCTAAGGATTAACTCTAATCCCAGTGTAGCACACAGCCTCAACTGTTGCGACACCTTCAAGTTAACTCTAACTTGAATACTCAATATACCTATTACAATTTGCTTCTAGATAAAGCTGAAAGGTACATATGAAAACCTACTACAATTGAACTNACAACTTCAAGTTAACTCTAACTTGAATACTCAAAGTACCTATTACAATTGCTTCTAGATAAAGCTGAAAGGTACAATATGAAAATACCTACTACAATTGAACTAGAAATAAAGAAAGACACATAAAACTCTTTATGGAGCTGGTTCTTCAATCTGGTTCATGTAGCTTCAGGTTTGCACACTTGAATCACACACGAACTGCTTGCAAAAAGCCTTGCTATTTTGCTCTCAATTCACGTTTAACTTCTGCGTTTTTATGCAACATATGTAATGTGAGAACATCCTGCAATTTATAGAGTTAGCAGATGAAGAAATAACTAGAGTTCTGATGCAACTCTTCCTTGGTGGAAGAGTTCTAGTTGATTTCAACTTCTATATCCTTCCTATCTTGGATAGTGTTCTCTTTGATTAAGGAGTCCTTCTCCTTATCAATTATGCAACTTTTTTGATCAGGAGATACTAAATACACAAATTTAAGCCTATCTCCTTCACGTGCATCCCACATGCTCGAATCTGCCCGTTTCTATGCACACAGGGGATGGACCTGGAGGGATGGACCTGGTTCATGCATGAGTTCCTTTGTCAGTGTTCAAAACTAACCTTTACTTGGGCCAACATTTAGGAGCAAAGATAAAGTCCATGACAGCGTTACGATCATGGTGTCTATTCCTGCTAATTGCAGAGCCTACCAAAGCCAAACCCAATAATTTCAGCAATTAGCTCCACATATGAGGCTATGAGCACCAGGGACTATCATACAGAAGATCAGTGACAAGTTTATCAATATTCTTTTCGTAGTCGGAACATAATGAAGTGATGATCAATGAATGAAAAATGATTTAGATTATATACACTAACATGAAACCAAAGTAAGTTTTTATTATGTTGATACAGGGGAAGCTGAACAAACTTGCCCATGTACTGTTCGAAATTGCTCAATTATGCTCTCTGTTAGACTTTTGGTCTAATAAGACTCTGCTATTAAACCATAGTCAAATGTTGAGAGGTAACTTTGAATATTTTCTCTTGAAGAATTTGAACACGTGAATTCCACAAATTCATGAGGGAGCTTCGTTAGTTCAAAGCTAAATACGTGATAATTTCATAACGACAACACGAGTATGAACACGTGAATTCCACAAATTCATGTGGGAGCTTCGCTAATGCAAAGCTAAATACGTGATAATTTCATAATGACAACACGAGTATGAATAAATCAAATGTAAAACAGGGAACAAACTTAGAACAATTTTGTATAGTACATAAGCAAATGTGTGTGATTGTAGCATATTTCAGAAATTCTTAGTCAAGTCAATAAATCATACAGTTGGTGTACAACTTAAAACAGAACTAATTTGGAGTATTAAAGAACGTACCATACAAGTAGCTTTGATAGAGGTATCGGCATCAAACCCAGGAAAATCTCTGTTTTCACAAATGGACAACATTACATCCATGAAATCTTCTTCCTCACCAGATTTAATCCCTTTAGAATCCCTCCTCCTTTTATGCTCTCCTAACCATTCTTCAACAACAGAGTCGATTTCTTTAGCAACTTCTTTCATTGCCTTCTCGTGTCCTCCTATATCTAGCCACCTTAGATAAGGTAAAAAATCAGCAATAACAGTAGCCCCTAACAACTCAAAAACACTTCTAATTGCTTTATGAGCTTTATTAATTCCTTCTCCTTCAGTACATTCTTTTCCAAATAACATCTTTCTATACGGTCGAAATCAGGTATGCCCGATCTCCCAGGTTCGAGGGGTCGCCTTAAGCCCGAGTTCAGGTAAGGTCGAGTTCGAGCTCGATGGACCAGACTCGAGCTCGAAGACAGAGTGAAATACCCAAAGATTGAAGTACGATGAATACCAAGGCCGAGTATGCTCGACCCCAAAATGATCCCTTTATGGATTTGTAACAGAATGAGCGAGATTCCTGCCACGTCCCTAAAATCATGTCGCAAATCCCGAAATAGAATTGTACGATTCCGTACTAGGCGGTTAGACAGTTGTCAAATAAGATTCCTTACTATAAATGGAAATGTACCTTATTTAGGGCTCCCCTATTATATAAAGGGGACCCCAATCATTTGTAAACATCATCTAATCATTGGAAAAGAATATACTCTCTACTTTTCGCTCTTTGTTCATCAGAATTGTCCTTTTGCTTTATTGTTCTTGCTTTATTGCTCTGGATTCATCTCGAGGTCACTGAGCTCGAGGTCGATACTGTCTAATAACACTGGTTTGATTTATTCATTTCTTTCATCTATACTTTATACTTCTTGATTATTAATTGGTATTGAACTAAATCACATATCTTTAAAACCACAAATCAAATTTAATTGTTACTCGTATTTTCGAGGTAAACAGTTTGGCGCCCACTGTGGGGCTAAAGATAATAGTGATTATTTCAGTACTGATTCTCATGACACACGTTATTTTTACACTTTTTCTTGTCAAGAATTTTTGATTCTCAGGATTAAACATGTCAAACTCGCAGAACACACATGTTCATGACAATGAAGGTCTTGGATTTCATGGGGAAAACAACAATGTAGGGATCAGTGTACCACCGATAAACCCTGGGGAAGTACCAAATATGGAACCAGTTGATGTTAATTCGCACATTGCTTTGAATGCAGATTTAGGCACAGACCCCAGAGGAAGTGTACGCAGGGAAGGCTGATCTGGGGGCCAAGGAACACAAGGTATAGGATATGGGGGAGTCAGCCTCCAAGTTATATTCGAGATGTTGCAAGCTCAGCAGATTGCCATCACTCAACTTCAGAGTCAGAATAAAACTCCGAGTATAGTTGAACCAGAAAACACTCGACGTGCTGAACCGGCGCTAGAGAGGTCAAACGAAAATGGCTCGGGGACTGACCCTACTATTATGAGAATGCTCAAAGATCTCACTAAGAGGATCGAGTCCGGGGAAAAGAAAATTGAAGATAACGAATAAAAGGTGGAAACTTATAACTCCCGTGTTGACCAAATACTGGGGGCACCTCCGATCCTGAAAGGTTTAGATGCCAAAAAGTTCATACAAAAACCATTCCCTCAAAGCGCGGCCCCGATGCCCATTCCTAAAAAGTTTTGCATTCCCGATATACCCAAATATAACGGGACAACCGACCCTAGCGAGCATATTACCTCATATACTTGCGGGATTAAAGGAAACGACCTGAATGATGATGAGATCGAGTCAGTGCTGTTGAAAAAATTTGGGGAAACTTTGTCGAAAGGAGCCATGATTTGGTATCACAACTTGCATCCTAACTCTATTGATTCGTTTGCTATGTTAGCAGACGCCTTTGTGAAAGCACACGTCGGGGCCATAAAGGTGGCGACGAGGAAATCGGACGTCTTCAAGATAAAACAAAGGAATGACGAGATGTTGAGGGAGTTCGTGTCTAGATTTCAGATGGAGCGAATGGAATTACCACCGGTCTCGGATGACTGGGCAGTACAAGCTTTTATGCAGGGTTTGAATGAAAGGAGTTTGATTGCATCTCGGCAATTAAAGCAGAATCTGATCAAGTATCCAGCTGTGACGTGGTCAGACGTGCATAACCGTTATCAATCAACAATCAGGGTCGAGGACGACCAGTTGGGAGCCCCCTCATGTCCAGTTCATCTTAATAGATTGGCAGCCAAGCCCCCGAGGGATACTGACAGGGAATCGAGATCAAACAAGGAACGACATCAGTCGTATGTCGATCGGAGAAATAACGGCTCAGGTTGTATCGCTCCTCGGAATGATCGGAGAAATGATCGAGTTCAAAGCTCTCGGGGACTCATAAGTAAGAATGGGTTCGATAAACATACCGACCCCGCGGAGGCACCTCGATTGTCAGAGTATAATTTCAGTGTAGACGCATCAGGGATTGTGTCAGCTATTGGAAGAATCAAAGATACCAGGTGGCCCAGGCCTATAAAAATCGATCCTTCTCAAAGGAATCCAAATTCGATGTGTAAGTATCATGGCACACATGGCCATAGAATCGAAGACTGCAGGCAGCTAAGGGAGGAGGTAGCTCGGTTGTTCAACGAGGGTCACCTTCGAGAATTTCTCAGTGATCGAGCTAAGAACCACTTCAAGGAGAGATATGCAAGAAAAAATGAGCAGGAAGAACCACAACATGTAATCTATATTATCGTTGGCGGTGTCAATGTCCCACAAGGACCCGTATTCAAGCGCACCAAGGTGTCGATCACCAAAGAGAAACGGGCTCGGAGCTATGTGCCCGAGGACGTTCTATCATTCTATGACGAGGAAGCAGAAGGCATATCTCAGCCGCACAATGACGCCTTGGTAATTTCAATTCTTTTAAATAAAATTCAAGTTAAACGTGTTCTAGTGGATCCAGGTAGCTCAACAAACATAATCAGATCGAGGGTCATAGAACAGCTCGGCCTACAGGATCAGATTGTACCTGCATCCCGGGTCCTAAATGGCTTCAACATGGCAAGCGAAACAACAAAGGGGGAGATAATCCTACCAGTAAACGTAGCCGGGACCATACAAGATACAAAATTCCATGTCATCGAAGGCGACATGAGGTACAATGCACTCCTTGGGAGACCATGGATACACAATATGAGGGCAGTACCTTCAACTCTTCATCAAATGATGAAGTTCCCAATACAAGATGGTGTGAAAACGGTTTACGGAGAGCAACACGCTGCGAAGGAAATATTTGCAGTCGATGAAGTGACGTCGATACCAGAGTCTTCAACCTCGGAAAAGTCGAACACCTAAGGTAAGTAGGCGGCCAAATAGCAATCACTGATCCCAGTCCCGATCGAGACGGAGAAACAGGTAATCAAAGACGAAGAAGAGGATTTCCTCACTCCTCGAACTTTCGTCGTTCCCGAGGAGTCCGATGCAACTAAGTCAACGATCGAGGAGCTGGAGCAGGTCATACGGATTGAATACATGCCCGAAAGAAAGGTATACCTGGGAACGGGATTAACCCCCGAACTCAGGAAAAAACTCATTCAATTTCTTATTGATAATATGGATTGCTTTGCTTGGTCCCACTTAGATATGATAGGGATTCCACAGGAAATAACAACACACCGACTAAGCCACGACCCCAGGTTCAAATCGGTAAAGCAAAAAAAGGAGGCCACAGTCCGAGGTGAAGCATGCATTCATAAAGGACGAGGTAACCAAACTTCTTAAAATAGGGTCTATTCGGGAGGTAAAATACCCCGAATGGTTAGCCAACGTAGTTGTAGTTCCTAAAAAGGGAAACAAACTTAGAATGTGCGTAGATTAAAAAGATTTAAACAAAGCATGCCCAAAAGACTCTTTCCCTCTGCCCAACATCGATTGCATGATCGATGCCACGGCCGGCCACGAGATTCTAACTTTTCTCGACGCCTACTCCGGGTACAATCAAATTCAGATGAACCCGGAGGATCAGGAAAAGACCTCGTTTATCACTAAGTTTGGAACTTATTGTTACAATGTGATGCCCTTTGGGATAAAAATGCAGGAGCTACATACCAACGCTTAGTTAACAAAATGTTCGAGAAACAGATAGGTAAATCGATGGAAGTTTACATTGATGATATGTTGGTTAAGTCCGTGCGCGCAGAGGACCATTTAACTCATTTGCAAGAAACATTCAAAATCTTGAGGAAGTACAACATGAAGCCTAACCCGAAAAAATGTGCCTTCGGGGTCAGCTCGGGTAAGTTCCTCGGCTTCATGGTATCGAATCGGGTATTGAAATCAATCCCGACAAGATCAAGGCCATCGAGTATATCACGATCGTGGATAGTGTGAAGGCCATACAAAGGCTAACAGGACAAATAGCCGCCTTGGGTCAGTTCATTTCGAGGTCATCAGATCGGAGACGTAGGTTCTTTTCCTTGCTCAAAAAGAAAAAGGATTTCGCGTGGACCCCAGAATTCCAGCAAGCCTTAGAAGAATTGAAGAACTACATACCGAGCCCGCCTTTGCTTCACACCCCGAAGGTAGATGAAAGGCTTTACTTGTATTTGGCAGTGTCCGAGATAGCGGTAAGTGGGGTACTATTCGAGAAGAGCAAGGTACGCAATTCCCTGTTTATTATGTAAGCCGAACTCTAGGAGATGCTGAAACTAGATACCCTCACTTAGAAAAATTAGCACTTGCATTGATAAGCGCATCTAGAAAGCTAAAGCCATATTTTCAGTGTTATCCCATATGTGTATTAACCACTTACCCTCTTCGAAATGTTTTGCATAAGCCCGAGCTATCGGGCCGGTTGTCCAAATGGGTCGTCGAACTTAGCGGGTACGATATCGAATATCAACCCCGAACGGCCATCAAGTCTCAAATCCTAGCTGACTTCGTGGCTGATTTTTCGCCGACCCTCGTACCCGAAGAGGAGAAAGAACTCCTGCTAAGATCGGGTACATCATCGGGGGTATGGACCCTTTTCACGGACGGTGCCTCAAATGTGAAAGGGTCCAGGCTTGGCATTGTCTTGAATCCACCTACAAGTAGTACCATTAGACAATCTGTCAAAACTTCTAGGTTGACTAATAATGAGGCCGAGTATGAGGCCATGATTGCAGGTCTCGAGCTAGCTAAGAGCTTGGGAGCAGAAGTCATTGAAGCAAAGTGCGATTCACTGCTGGTGGTAAACCAAGTAAACAAAAGTTTTGAAGTTCGAGAGGATAGGATGCAACGGTACTTGGATAAGCTGCAGGTAACT